ATATATCTTGACATTAGGATTATCTTGATACTAACCCTATTTTTCTTATATGCATTTCTTAGGCATCCTTTTGTTGCCCACATTATAACATAATAAAGTCCACTTGATTCTTGATTGCAAGTTCTATTTAGTGGTGATGTAGAAGGTTTACAAATTTATGGTAGGATTTATCCTAAGGAATTTTGAGTGAAATTGAATACTTTATACACTTTGAGTGATGAGAGCAAACACTTTACCTAGAGAGGCTTACTCTTTGACATTGATTCTTGGTAAAGGTTTGTTTGTGATGTGCATGATTCTTTCTCTAATTATTGCCACATTGATTGATAATTTGTAGAAGTTCGTGAGCTAGTATTTTAGTGATTTTGAACATTATTTTTCTCTTGTTTCTTTGTCTTAGAGTTTCTTTTGGGTCCTTTTTTACTTGATTTTGCCCGGACTGTAAAAAATAAGTGTAGGGGAATTAATAGAACACATTTTTTTTCTACTTTTATTTGTCCATTAGGACCCTTTTATTAATTTTTTATCACCTCAAAGTGCACTCATTGTATTAGATTTGAAAAATTGCCTAAGTTTTTAGGTTTAATGCATTAAAAGTATTTTGGTCCAAAAAATGAACTTTTAAGAAAATGTACAAGAAAAATTGACAAAGTGCATTTTATGTTCATTTCATGAGTGGTGACATTATATTTTTAAAATTTATTTTATTTAGGGAGTAATTAAATAAAAATTCAACACTTTCTAAAGTGTCTTAGTTTGACCTAGTTTTCGGTTTGCTTTTGTGTGAAAATGTTTATATAATTTTGTGTAGCCTAAAACTTGGTTAATTTAATAAATTCTCCCTTCTAATTATGAATTTAACTCTAGACATTGATTTCATTTTATTATATCACATGCTATTTAATTGAATTATTTGATTTATTTGACGTAAATGACATGTGACTTGTGCATCAATTGGGGAATTGAGGTCAACACTCCTTGAGGTCAATGGCTAAGCATTTGCAAGTGAAGTATAATTGTTTTGAGGGATTAAATTAGCTTAAATAAGGTGGATGATACATGAAAAATTAGGCATATATTGGAATCATCTACCAACCAATAGGAGAGTGCCACCTTGCAAATGTGACATGGCTCCCATTTTCATTTTAATTTCTTTTCCTAATTTTTATAAAAGAAATATATATATATATATATATTGTTCACCTTAGAAAAACATTACATTTATTGAATCTAGACACATTACAAATTTAATAAAATTGAACATTATAGCTTGAGTTGGGCTATTCTTATGTGTGACCATGTAAGCCCACATGAAGTTGCCAACAGGCTAATTACGCTACTAGCCTATAAGTCACAAGTGGCCTCTAACAAGACATTGCAACTATCTAATGGGGGTCGATGATCCAATGTAACCAATCATGTAAATGTATTAGATTCCTTTTGTCACATGATATTTCGGTCAAGTGTGAGATATGAAATTCTCATTTTCCTTTATTTAACCATTACTTTCTCAATTTTTCTAAGTGGACTGACATAACAATGGAAAAACCTTTTTCATTGTAGCATGCCATACTTTTTCTCAGTCTTACTCATCGAGGAGACCAGTAATATCTCTCAATTAACATAAGGAATAAATTTCATCTTGACCACTCATACTCCTCTGCATGAATATCATTAAACTCAATCATAGCTTTTATGATCATCCAATCAAAAGTGACTTTTGACTAAGTCAAATTTCAACTGTCATCATATAAGAATCAATACTGATCTCAGGTCAAAGGGCTTAGTGATATGATTTTATATGAGATAAGCTTATAACTTATACCATGCAGCTTTCTCATAGCAAGTCAGTCCAGCACCTTATATGTCTTATGTGTGCCTACGATTTTGATTTATATATATATATATATATATAATTAATTAAAGTCATACTAGTCTTGTTTCATTTATGATCCCTCATAGTTAACCAACTAGGAACATTTAGGACATTCACCATAGTTTATCCAAGGATACAGTTATGATAGTGAACATACAATTAATATGATAACAAAATAAAAATTCATTAAATAACAATGTTTATTGTACAATAATTGACCCTAGGGCAAAATTTCTAATAGTCTTACCCCATGGATTTACATTTTTATAGGTTTTAAGAGAGATAGGGAACAAAGGAAAGAGCCGAGTAAGGAATAGCTACTCAGATATCCATTGTATTGCCCATTTTATATTCTAGGTGTGCATATAAATATGAATGTGTAATATTTTGGGTTGCCAACTAGAAATGCATAAACTTGTTGAGTGGCACTTGCATGATAATGTGTTATGATGTATTTTAGCTCATGAATTGTATGATGTGATGATATATGTGGTGACATGTGTAACGATGGGGTAAAATATTAATACAAGTACAAGTACATTGTAAAATGTGTTGTGATATGTTAAATTACTTGTATAATAAATTTGTGATATTTTTGCCTAAAGGGAATGTTTGGTGAACCCTTGTGAGATTAGGCCAAAATACTAATACAAGTGAAAAAATGTTGTATACATGTGGTGATAATATATATGTGATGTATTATGTGGTTATGATAAGGGCCAAGTAGTGTTTGTTTATGATTTTGGTGACTTTGGCCATATTGGGTGAAACTAACATTAAGTGGCTAAATTTTTGTGTTTGGTATGTTATAGTGTGTTTAAATACTCAATCAAGTGGACTGTTAATCAGGTGTATAATAGTCCACTGGACTTAGTTCAAGCCTCAAATTGGGGTAATGGTATAAGTTTTGATTTTTTGGTACTTGAATTCTTAAAAATCATTTTAAAATCAAACTTTTACATCTAGGTGTCCAAATTTCATATATGACATCAAATCATAATGAAACTTATACCATTAGTTAGCTTATCGAATAAGTTTCGTGTGAACGCTTGAATCACTCCAATTGAACGTTGGATGCATATGTCATGATTTGGCATGTGCACCACGGCATACGATACAGTAACGATATTGAGTCCTCTGTGCCACAAGCTGTGGCATATGGGCCAGAATGTGCAAAAATTATATTTTTGGCCCTATCTTTGTGTTTTGCTTTTCATAATTTTTCATGCTTCCCATATGTTTAACAACTAAGTTTGAGCTCAAACTTCAAATTTGATGGGTTTTACATGGGATCCCAAATATTCAAATTATTTTTAAATGTTTAATTATTTTAACACTTCTATGTTCATGGTAAGCCTTAGAGTTATATATAGCTCCTAATTACCATTATTTGTTGTGACTTTGTGGTTAATATTGTTAATGTCAAGGTAGATGTTACACACGGTGTAAGGTGCATGCATAGCGGCACATGGTACAACAAGGCCATATGCCATTTTTGGCCACCCACTTGAGCCCGGTTGATCCGAATATCATCCTAGCTCATTTTCACAGTTGTTCAAAAGGCCAAATTTGTCATTTGAAAACATTATTAACTCATAAGTCACTCAATTTTACTAATTTACTCCTCTCAAACACTTAAATTTTTAAAGTTTAAAATCCAGAATGTTACACAAAGATCTAGGAATGAGCACCTTCAACAACATGATGATGGCGAGGATGTTCAATAACGTGTATTAATGGAATCTGCAAAAAGGATTGGGGTTACTAGTGATAGACACGACATTGTGGCTGGATAAGAGGACGAAGTCATTCATGGATTCGTGCACAATGAATCAGAGCAAGTTCTTCCAAGATTTCATGATCAAGGTTAGCAATCTAGATGTCAAGATCGAGAATCAAGGAGAGATTCATCATAGATGCGACACTTTCAACTCGCTACAACGTTGAGAGTAAGTTGTTCACATACACTAATCAATATGGAAATGTAAGATTCAAATGTAAATTATAGAGTCGGTACTAGTTCCACACAATGCATAATCGAAAACTAGAAAAGGCATGAAATTAAAAAGAAAGGATGAGCAATTTAGATTTTCGTGTTGAGAGCCGAGACTTGGGAAGGAATATTGGAGTCTTTTTGTTGTCTTCTTTTGTCCATTGTAATCAAATTCGAGATGTAAAGATTAAGCAGAGGATGAAGAATGACCTCAATGTCATTGGTCAAATTGTGAGTCAAACACTGAAGTGCCACCAAAAGTGGGCCCCACAAGCTAGTCTAGTAAGCAGAAAATGGAAGAGATCACGGTTGATTGATGGAAGGAAAAATTTGCACCTAACTAAAATTATATAGGGATAGAAATCCCTCAATTAATAGTATAAGATATCCAGTATTCCTCAAAAAAAAAAAGTATAAGGATAAAAATGCTCTTTAACCCAAAAGATAAACTAATATAATAAAAAACTACAATAATAGATTGACAGTATTTACTCAAATTAAAAAAAAGAAAAGATTGAAAGTAGGTTTATAAAGTATAAAACTTTTGAAAGTTGGGATCCCAAGCTACACAAAAATCAACGTAACCCAGTTAAGAAATTAGACATCAATAAAAAATCTCTCTTCAGAAAATAAACATCAATAGAAAGATGATTTGAAAACGAATGATTTCAATTTACAAAGTAAAGAAGATGATGACAAAGACAAAGCCACATGATAAAATTGATTTTACAAAAATATAGGAAATATGTCAAAGATCATCCAGCCAACGAAGTTACTAGTAGGTGTTCGTGAAAATGTTTAAAAAAAAGACTAAAACAAAGCAAAACAAAAATAAGTCCATTGAGAAATTCATGGAGTAATAACCCGCCTTCCTATGTCATATTGAGCATTATTCTGTCGAAATTGGATTTAATGCTCTTCAGCTTATAAATGAGCATCGATTATTCTTTTTTTAATTTCTTCCACCTGAATTATAATTAGGAAATCTCATTATTTTGTTCTCGAAAATTGGGGTAAAATGTAAACTAAATATCATCTTTTAATTGCTGCTTCCATTTTAAAAAATTTTCTTTTAAAGGAAGAGCCATGAATTTGCACCATCCCAAATATTAGCATAATATGCAACTGGAATTCTGATAGTACAAAGAATATTGCCACTAAAGTCCAACAGCAAATATGAATGAAATATTGTTCTTCAAGGAACAAGAATCAATGGATAATCCGCGTCAGTATACAACCTCACGAATCAGTTAAATTTTAGTTTTCAGCATCTTTATCAAAAAAAAAAAAAATTAGTTTTCAGCATCAAAGGGGTTGCATCAAAATTTCAACAAGTTGACCTAACTCTAATACAATGTATATCCCGTCAATGCTTATCACATGCTCCGTTCGAACCTTGTGAGTATAAATTATCTGGTAACTGCACCAAACTATTATCCTGGATCTGTTAGAATACCAAAATCAGCAAGTAATGATTGCAAGTCATTTTGTGTAGGTTTTCATGACAAAGGCAATTAAAACTAACTTGTGCAATCATCTCATAACAGATTCTTTCACATAGGATCGACCACCCGAACTGCAATGATAAGAATGAAATTAGAAACCATGTAAAGATGCTTCAAAACAACCATAAAAATGTTGTAGTAAAATCCAACTCACGAATATTCTAGGTGAATATTCATAAATCGACGATTTTCTTTGCTTTGTGACAGCACCACTAAGCCTTCAATAAGTTGATCTTGCTCTAGTTCTATGGGATCATAGAAGTATATCAACGTCTACACATTGTGCAAAAACACATTGATAAGAAATATAATCAACCGTAAATTATAAATTTCGATTAAACAACTGAAATTTGGCCAAACAACCAAATCATACAACTGAAATTTGCTAAAGAAGGACGGTCATCATGCTACACATAACATGAAGCTTTAAATCACAATACCCTAGCAAGTGTCATGCCAAAATACTAATTTATATTCCATTTCAACAAGTCCTTCTCATGAATTTTCTACTATCGTTCTATGATTTTCCTTGAGCTATTTTCCTCATTTTAGGGGGGGGGACCCACCAGTCTTGTCCTAACTGGAGCAATTAATTATTTATCCTGGCAACTGTCAGATTTGTTGTGTTACAGCAACACACAAGATCAGGATATGTCCTAGAGGCCTGAAAAAAAAAAGAGAAAAAAGAAAAAAAGGATGTCTGCTTCAAAGGAACCGCATATACAAGAAAAGTCTAATTTTGTTTACATACTCGTATTATTCATCCATACTCGTATTATGTTGTTCATATAATCGAATAATACAGGAGTTATTTCAAATTATATATGGCAAATAAAGTGTTGTTTCCAACGTTGTCTTGCACCAAATAGTATGCCATGCACCATGGTGCCAAGACCCGTGTGGCACGTTCTTTATTATAATTTATGATTACATGTTTGAGCATTTTTTGCATCGAAATATCTTCGAGATAAGCAATGACACAAACATTGAAAATTGAAAACACTGATCAACAAAACTAAGAGCGCTTATTTGCAATATTAGAAATTATAAAATCAAACGGCACCTGTTGCCAATGGGTTGGAGGGTCCTCGGGTGCAGTGGACAGCACCAATGCCTCGCTAGGGTTTGTCCGTTTCTTTCGCTGACTTCCATTCATTGGATGGTTGTCGACAGAAAAATTTGTAAAATGAGAATTTGAAGATGTTGCGGGACCATTAAATTCAACATCAAACCAAAATGCAAAACCATGCAGTGGAGCTGGAAAAATTATGAAAATAAATTAACAGAGATATTACAAGAAGCAAGTGAAGATATATCTGTAGCTAACAAAAGCGCTAAAATGGGCTTAAAAAAGGGGGCGGGGAGAAAGAGAGAGAGAGAGAGAGAGTATTTGACAGATTTAAAACAGAGCTGAAAACATGGTCGCTGGATTAGGAGACAGAATAACTGAGTTTGGCCCATGAAATTTGAGAGCAAGCTAATACAAAAGGAGGGAAAGGAGGAGCGTTCAAAATTAGCAGAAAGAGAAAGTATCATTTGGAAATACATAAATGAGACAAGAACAGGCATAAGAAAGGTTACCTCGCATCATTGACTTGAACTTATATCTAGTTGAAACAGATTCTAGCTCATGGATGGTAACCGAATAACAGTCCACTTGTATTACCTGCAACGGGGAATTATTAAAAAATTGGAAACTATACTGGTTATTTGAAAAGCAGAATATTTTGAATCAGGACAAACTCAAACATGCATGGATGGAGGGAATGGGAACCTCTCCATTGTTTTATCATCTTGTTCCCTCCACTTTTCTAATCATATCAATTAACATCACTGCATTAAGTGAATCTGTCTCAGCCATAAATTTAATAAATGGACAAGACTAGGAAAGTGGAGGAAAAAGGATAAGGAAATGGAGAGGTTCCTTGTCCATGCATGGAGACAGTTACATACTAAACACACTGTAGATTTTATAAAAGCATATTTTCTTATTGAACACTTTTGAAAGAATATTCTATATTACTGACAAAAACAGTACATTGATGTATAGGGAAGAAATAGTTACACTTTTGCTATCCAATTAAAAAAAAAAAAAAACCTATTACATGGAAAGATTTACAGAGAAAGAAAAGGCTAAAAAACAGGGAATAAATAAGACTAATAACAGAAAATAAATACTGGAATGTTATTTGAAATATTCCACCAACACTTACCCTCAAGCTAGAGAATATATGTTTATGATTCCCAGTTTACTTCTTAATTCTTCAAATCTGGATCGAGTGAGAGACTTCATGAGTAAATCTGCCACTTGTCTTCCAGAACTCACACAAGACAGATCTATCATGCCTGAATCTAACTTCTCTTTTATGAAATGGGGATTCATCTCAACATGCCTTGTTCAATCATGTGATGATATAGAAGTATTTTTCCCTCAAATATCTTCATGGTATCAAAGCAAAAGGATGGAAAACACAATTCCTCTCTAGACAATGAGTTGAAGATGAGTCCTTGACCAGAGTAGATCAAGTCACAGTCCACAATGCCGCTAATGACAGAGGATTCCTCCTCAAATGGGTCCGCATGAGTCATCTCTTCTAACCTTGAGACCTCTGCAATTCTGATCATACCAGAGAAGTCGAATGGCAAGAACTATTGCGAGTGGGGACAGTCCATGATGCTTGCTCTCAAAGGTCAAGCCAAAATGGGTCTTATTTTGCATGACTCTACTGCCCCTCCAACATCCAACATAAAGGCTTAGAAGTGGAAATCTGAAAATGCCATAGTCTCTTCATAGCTTATAAATGCTATGATTCTAGACATAAAAAAAAACTTCTTGTTTCTTTCTACTACCCAAGATATTTGGGAAGCTGTTTGTGAAGCCTATAGCACTGGCAAAATGTCTCCCAGTTATTTGAGATAAAACAAAAACTCTCTGATAGAGCCCGTTATTTTCCTAAGACGTATCAAAGGAAGTCAAAAGGGAGGAATAACTCTAATGGAAATACTTTAACTGGTCCAAGGACTTATCCTTCAGTCCCTAGCCATAAGAAACAGTAATTTGTGATCTTTTGTCATGATTAGAATCTTTTGGGTAGTATGGGCTATGTTTGCCATGCTGAATGTATTAGTAGTCTTTTGCTTAGAGAGTGGGAGGGAAGGAGGATAATGAAATTGTGAGGAGAGATTGGCCTCTTTAATGCCAGTGGTAGTGGAACCTTTATTTTGAAGCTTGAAATCTAGTGGCTAGAGTTATTTTGATTTTATAAAGGAAATAGGGTTTTTGCCAGAATTATAGTGTCCTTGTAACTCTGATTCGATTCATTCAGCTCATTATTATAAAAAAAACCTCAGCATTTTCCTCTCATATTTAGTGCTGTTATTGTCTTTTTTATTGTTTCTATTGTATTACTGGTTTGGGTCACATTATTTGGCATCAGAGTGAGATTTCTGGGTAAATTGAGAGAGAAGTTATGGCCGAAAGAGTATCTAAGTAGGTTGGGGAACCCTATCTCAAAAGCTAGCTATTGAAGTTGGAAAACCAACCTACTTATATACCCCATTGAGCATCCCATACTACTCGATGTGGGACTTAATATCCCATACTACTAAATCTCTATCAATTAGCCCCCCATGGAAAGCCGACATCCCAATGGTTGCATTCCATAGCACTTAACTTGGTCTTCTTTCGATCAGAACCCTCTGTGAGTAGCCATTTCTGAAACCGCCGACAACGAGACTGATACCAATTGATAGGTACCTATGTAGGATGAGGAACCCTACTTCAAAAGCTAGCTATTGAAGTGGGAGAACCAACCAACTTATAATACCCCATTGAGCATCCCATACTACTCAATGTGGGACTTGATATCCCATACTACCAAGTCTCTATCACTTTCTAACTAGAATGATCAAAGTTTGGGTGAGTATTTGCTCAAAAAGACATCCCTTTGGCAAGAACTAGACCTAATGAGTGATGATACATGGTGTTGCCCACTGCTGCTGCCAAATCTTGGAAAAAATTAAAAAAGGAGCAATTATTTGAGTTGCTTGTAGTTCTAGATGCTGTGTTTGATGATGCTAGAGGAAAAATTCTGAACAAAAACCTCTCCTATCTATTCGAGAGGCATTTGTTATATTAAGAAGGGAAGAATCACGGTGAAAAGTCATGCTTAAAAGGCGACTTTGTGGCATGTTCTCTGTTGCCTAAATCATCTTCTACACTTACTATGCGTTCTAATGAGCATAAGAATCAAAAGGGACGTCCTACTTGTGATCATTGTAACAACGTAGGGCACACTAAAGACACTTGTTGGGATTTATATGGAAAACCACCTGATTGGAATCCTCAAAAGGATTGAGGTCAAGGATATATAGCTGAAGCATCCAAGGGCGAGGAACACATGTCTTCACCAGATGATCATCTCAACAAGATTCTATAAATGCTTGTTGCCATGAAAAGCGACAAATAACCAGTTGCAACTATTGCCAAATGAGGTAATTTCTCTCAAGCACTAGCTGCCATCAAAGGTAAGTGCTCAGTTAACTGCTGCATTGTAGATTCAGGTAACTAATCGTATGACTGATAATATTATACTTTTCACGACACATGTCTCATGCAAGAAAAAATTTGCTGTTACAATTGATGATGATTCTGATTGTTTAGTGGCTGGTATCAACAATATTTATATTTCTGCTACCTTAACTTCACATAATATTCTTCATGTTCCTAAGTTAAAAGTGTAGTTTACCATCTGTTAGCCAACTGGCAAAGAACACACGTTGCCATGCTAACTCCGTTACTACCCATTGCTTATTTCAAGATTTGTTGATGAAGATGATTGAGAGTGCTAGAGAGTTCGATGGGCTATACTACCTAAATGAAAGTGATCTTAAGATTGTCAGAACTTGTAATAAAGTGTCTCCCTAGTTTCATTAAATGTCTCAATCGTTTCCTTCAATTTCTCTAACAAAGACTCATCTACATTTTATTGCAACTCTTGTGAACATGCTAAACATCATCGCTCATCCTTTCCTAGTCTTTAGTATCATGCGTTTCATCCTTTCACTACAATCCATAGTGATTAGTCAAAAACTCACATGATCTGAAGCAAAAACATCTAAACAAAGTTTACAAGATTTTTCGATATCTAAAAGGTTCACTTGGTCGTGGACTATTGTTTAAAAAATCAGAGAAGAGAAACGAGGAAATGTTTATAGATGCTGATTGGACAGGTGACCAAGATGACCGGAAGTCTACTTCAGGGTATTGTACATTTGTGTGGGCCAATCTTGTCACCTAGAGAAGTAAGAAACTAAGTGTCGTTGCAAGGAGTAGCTGAGGCTAAATTCAGAGCAATTGCTCTTGGAATTTGTGAGGGTATTTGGCTCAAGCAAGTCTTGGAAGAGTTGAAGCAAAGTATGAATCTCCCAATTACACTATATTAAGATAGCATGGCAGCCATTAACATATCTCATAATCTTTTTGAACATAACAGAACTAAGAATGTAGAGATTGATTAGCACTTTATCAGAGAGAGAATAGATGGTGTTATTTGACTATCCTACATCCCATCCAGAGAACAAACCATAGATATTCTTACGAAAGGATTGGCTCGAGACAAGTTTGAATATTTTGTTGGCAAGCCGCAAATGATTAACATCTATAATCAAACTTGAAGGAGTGTCGATAACTTAATATTTCTAAATAAATATTATTTATTTATTATAAATATGTTATTAATTGAAGTAGCAGAAATGAAAATGTTGAGATGGATGTGTGGATATACATGTAAAGACAAAATTTGAAATGAGCGAGTAAAAGAAAAAATAAGTGTGGCACCTATTGAAGAAAAAATAGTAAAAAATTGTTTGAAATGGTTCGAACATGTACAAAGAAGATCATGGGAGGCACCTATGAGGAGAGTGAAACATATGACTTTAAGCCCTGTTAAGAAGGGTAGGGAAAGACCGAAGAAAACACTTTTGAAAATTATTGAGCGAGACCTTTTAATTAATAATATTTCTAAAAACATAATAAATGATAGAACACAATGACATTATATAATCCATGTAGCGGCCCCTGCCTAGTAGGATAAGGCTTGTTGTTGTTGTGGTTGTTGTATTATAAATACGTTATTAACTAGCCAGATTCTTTGTATCATATTCCTTCCCTGTATCTCAGCCTATCCCAAGATTTATGGCCTATATTTATTGCTTTGATTCTCTATACTTGAATATATTCCCTCAAAAGGGTTTAGTGATGATATAGAAGTATTTTTCCTTCAAGTATCTTCATAAACCATGAGAAATATCCTTCTAGTGAGGAGCTAAGGAAAATCTATATGCCAAAATTGCATGAATGTTTTATACAAGTGGTTTATCTTTTTATTTGGCATGTAATTCTTATCTTATCGGTTCACATCAATATGTTGCTAATAATCAAATTTCTGGATATCAACCTACTAGTTATAATGCACTACAGAGCCCCTTGATGCAAAGAGAACGAGCTAACACAGATAAGCTATTTGAGCCAATTAAAGGGACTTGTGATGAGAAAAAGGGTAAGTATAGTTACAAATAATTGCATAGATATTCAAAGGAGGCTATTGATTAATTTTATGGACGTATCTGATGAGAATCCTATAGTTTTTTAAGACAATTGATGGA